CGACGGTGGCGGCGTGCCACCCGCGATCGCCCGCCGCCCGCGGCCCCTCGGCCATGCGGTCGAGCATGATCGCGCGGAGGTCGGTGAGCGGGACCGCGTCGTCGGGGCCCGCGCGGCGCAGGACGCTCACGCCGGCCCCAGGAGGCGCGCGAGGACCTCCTCGGCGCGGCGGTCGAGCTCGGCGCTCGGGTCGCCGACGATGGCGCGCAGGTAGATGCCGTCGCCCAGGGTCGCGACGAGGTCTGCGGTCAGCGGGTCGCCGAGCACGCCGGCGAGCTCGGCGCGCCAGCGGTCGAGCATGGTGCGGGCGAGGTCGGCGGCGCGCGGCTCGGTGGAGGCGAGCTTGTAGAGCGCGATCGTGGCCCGGTAGTTCGGGTCGTCGGCGCCGACGAACGACGTCCGCAGGTAGTAGGCGGCGAGGCCCGTCGGGTCGGCGTGGCCCGCCGCGATGTCGACCTCGTTGAGCTCCTCCGCGCGCGCCAGCAGGCCCCCGAGCAGGGCGTCCTTGCTGCCGAAGTGGTAGAGCAGGCCGCCCTTCGACACCCCGGCGGCGGCGGCGACGCCCTCGAGGGTCACCGTCTCGGGCCCGGTGGTCACGACGATGTCGGTGTACGCGTCGAGGACGCGGTCGCGCTGGGACGGCCGAGGCACCCCTCGACCTTACCGTCCAGACGGTGTACTTTCGTAACTGCACCGTCCGGACGGTACGAATACGGAGGAGATCATGGCCATGCGGTCGCGGGTCGCGCTCGCGGTGCTGACGCTGCCCGTCCTGCTCATCAGCGTCGACATGACGGTCCTGGGTGCGGCGCTGCCCGCCATCGACGCGGACCTCGCGCCGAGCGGGGCGCAGCAGCTCTGGATGGTCGACATCTACTCGTTCGTCCTCGCGGGGCTGCTCATCGTCATGGGCGGGCTGGGCGACCGCATCGGGCGCCGGAAGCTGCTGCTCGTCGGGGCCGCGGCCTTCGGTCTGGCCTCGGTCGCGGCCGCGCTCGCCCCCAGCGCCGAGGCGCTCATCGCCGCCCGCGCGCTGCTCGGGATCGGCGGGGCGACGCTGATGCCCTCGACGCTGTCGCTGATCAAGACCGTGTTCCCCGAGCCGCGGGCCCGTCGCGGCGCCGTCGCGGTGTGGTCGGCGGCGTTCGCCGGGGGCGCGGCCGCCGGGCCGGTGATCGGCGGGTGGCTGCTCGAGCACTTCACGTGGCACGCGGTCTTCCTCATCGCGGTGCCCGTCACGGTCGCCCTGCTCGCGGTCGGCCCGTTCGTGCTGCCCGAGAGCCGTGACCCGCACCCGGGCCCGTTCGACCTGCTCTCGGCGGGCCTGGCCCTGGTCGCCGTGCTCCCCGTGGTCTACGCGCTGAAGTCGGTCGCCACCGAGGGCCCGACGCTGGTCGCCGGCCTCACGGCGGCGGTCGGCGTCGGCGCCGGGGTCGCCTTCGTCGCCCGTCAGCGGACGCTGCGCCACCCCCTGCTCGACCTGTCGCTGCTGGCCCACCGCCCGTTCTCCGCGGCCGTGGTGACCAACCTGCTCAGCGTCGTCGCACTGGTCGGCCTGCTGCTGCTGCTCCCCCAGCACCTGCAGCTGGTCCTCGGGTACCGGCCGCTCGAGGCGGCGCTGTGGATGGTGCCCGGCATGCTCGCGGGCGTGGCGGGCTCCCTGCTCGCGGCGCGGATCGCCCGGCGCCTGGCGCTGCGGGCGGTCGTCACCGGGGGCCTCGTCCTCGGCGCCACCGGCCTCGTGGTGCTCGCCGCCGCACCGGCGGCCCTGGCCGCGATCGTGGCCGGGTTCGCCCTCGCCGGCGGCGGGATCGCGCTCGCCGAGGCGCTGACCAACGACGTCGTCGTGGCCGCGGCCCCGCCGGAGCGCGCGGGCGCGGCGTCGGCGATCTCCGAGACCGGCTACGAGCTCGGCGGCGCGCTCGGGACCACGATCCTCGGCAGCGTCAGCGCCGCGGTGTTCGTCGCCGCGCTACCCGGCGAGGACACGCTGCCCGGCGCGATCGCCCACGCCGTGGCGCGCGGTGACGACGCCCTCGCGGGCGCCGCCACCGTGGCGTTCACCGACGGCCTGCGCGCAGCGGCGCTGGTCGGCGCGGCCGTGCTGCTCGCCGCGGCCCTCCAGGCCTGGCGGCGCCTGCACGGCGCGGACGACTCCGACGCCGACCGCAGCGACGTCAGCGGGGCTGGACCTCGCCCATCTCGCCCCAGCCGTCCTGCGGCACGTTCT